CCTCTCCCAACCCCCTCCCACCCTACCTCCATCGTCTTGGTGGTCAGGCTCAAATGTCACATTCTGGTTATCAAGCAGAACACGGATTCTGTCATGAGGCTCAAGGAGCCACTGAACCTGCAAGGAGATGGGAGGGGATCTGAGCCTGACCCACAGGTGCAGCAGATGCCCAGGGAAGCAGAGGGGCGAGCGCCCAGGACTGGGAGCTGCACCCTGGACTGGGAGGAAGGTGCTGGAGCTGCGGCCCGAGGTGGTGCCCGCCGACGGCCACCGTGTGCTCTGCAGGGCCAGGCTCTGCGCCAGGCATGGTTTTCAGATGATCCCCTTCAACCCCCACAGCAGCCTGTGGGGCAGGTAATGTTATCATCCCCATTCTTACTAGAAGAAACCAAGTTAAGTGGTTTCTTTGAAACCAAACAGCTGGGAAACCGTGGCGCCAGAACCCTCATCCTGCCATCCCCAGATTTTACTCCTGGACAGCTGGGGGGTGGAACGTGACCTCCCTCCCTCCTGCCCGGCTCCCCCTTCTTTCTCCTCTTCCTTCTGGGCCTCAATATCCAGCTGGAGGTGCCCGTGGTGAAATGCAGGAGGTCCCCGGCGCCCCTCACGCACCGTGACGGGCCCCAGGCTGCTGGAGCGGTACTGAGCGGCAAAGGCAATGAAGTTGGTGGCCTGGGCTGAGCCGGTCTGGGTGGTGCGGCCCTGCAGCTGGAAGGAGGAGTTCCCGTCCTGGGCCTGGACCAGCAGGAAGTCCCCCAGCCCATTGAAGGTGTAATTCACACCGTCCAAGGTGGTGATGTGGGGGTCCCCGAACATCCAGGCTGAAAGGAAAACAGATACCACATCAGCATGACACACCATGGGTTGGGCTGAGATTCCCCGCTGCAGTCAGATAGGGCACTTGTCCCGTGGACTCCAGCTGGGGAGGTGTTCTCATAGAACCCTCCCCTCAAGGCCCTGCACTTTCGTGCTCCCCATTCTCACTCCTTCCCCAGCACCAGGTACAAAGGGCCTCCATTTGCCATCAGCCCCATCACTGGCACCCTCTCCATCTTCCCTGTGGGCACAGCTCTGCCCCGACTCCTCATCCAGACGTCGTCCCAGAGGCCAGAAGCTCCCCTCCCCAGATGCTCTGCCTGAGCCTGGACCTGACCCTCACCGGGCCGCAGGGGCCTGTACGCAGCGCAGCCTACTCGGGGCCGCCTCTGCTGGTACAGGGCACAGAGGTAGGGCTTGTCATTCCAGCGGCAGCACCAGCTCTGCGGCTCCAGTTCCTGGGCTGTGGAGAAGAGCAGGGAGTCAGGGAGGCTGAGGACCTGGAGATCCCAGCTGGAGAGCGTGGCAGGGCAGGACAGTGTTGCTGGCAAGAGCGTGGCTTTGGAATCCAGCTCGGCCCTTCTCATTGACCTTGCACGGTGGACAGGGTGCTGTCTCTTTTGCAGGCACTGGGGGACTGTGCAGCAGAGCACATGGTAGGAGCTAAGCAAATTTCCTTTCTTAAGGGTGCAGAGCCAAGAAACACTGCTGTCAACATGCTGGGAGTGGGAAGGGTGCGGCTGACAGTCCAGGAACTGTGGAAACTGCCATGGGACGGGGGAGAGAACGAGAGGACACAGACCCCCGTGACCCCACGCCCCTGTGTTCTCCAGCTCTGTTGGAGGCTCTCTGTGGGAGCTGACTCTCAGTCTTCCCCCAAACAGCCTGCTCATCTGGGTCTACAGGGACGGGGTCAGACTAGGCGCTTTCTTCTTGCCTGGAAAGATGCCTCCACTCTGGCCTAGGGCTACGGGGCCAGATGCAGGTGGGGAAAGAGGCACTCAGCTTATTCATCCCCGAGTGTCAGCTGGTGGGGATGTTGGAAGCTTCCTAACTTTACAAGATCAGGAAATGGAGGCCCCGATGGGGAAGGGTCTGCGAAGGAATGAGGACAGAGGCTTCATCCTGGGGGTCCCCTGCTTGGCTGGGAAGGTGGGGTTCAGAGCTGCATGGACTCACCACCGAACTGCCGAGGACTCTGCACGTGCCAGCCTTCACGAAGCTCTCCCCAGGGCCCATAGCTGCAGCACACGCCTCCTCGCCAGGAGGTGAAGCCGCAGAGCTGCCTGCTGCCGGGGGCCCCCCGACCTGAAACAAGTCCAGCCGCACTCAGGCCCAGGCCGCGGCTGCCGGGGGTGGGCCGGGAACAAGCGGGGGGTTGTTTCTGGGGAGAGGCTGAGGGCGTGAGCAGAGTGGATGGTGGGTGGGCTTGTGGGGGACGGGAAGGAGGCGTCACCTATGCTGACGGGTCGGAATCGTAAGTCCCATCGTCCCTGCTGCCAGGAACAAGGGCAGGAGACCTGGTTCCAGCCCCAGCTGGGCCGCTGAGGCTGGCTGCTCAACCACTGCAGGCACACGAGGCGGTAGTTGGGCCTCTCTTCCCTGTGCAGCCTGTAGAACTGCAGCCCTCGGAGGCCTGGGGTTGGGGGATGGGGAGGAAAAAAGGGTTTATCCCAGGGCTTGGGGCTGCAGGCCCTGTCTTAGCTTTAGGGTCAACCAAAACTCACGAATGCACCCCCGTGCCACTTCTCACCTCTCTGGACACCTTCAAGGGATGGGACCCAATTCAGACGGGAAACGCTTCCGCCCCAACGCCCGTCACTGACTTAGCGTCTGATTACCAAACGTGGTTGCCACGGAATAAATAGAACTGGATTTACACTTCACAATTCATGTGGCTGGTTCCTAGGGCTAAAATGTCCTTTGTCCTATCCCATTTTGGAAACCGATTTCTTTCCCACTGCGGCCTCTGGACGTGACACTGAGTCACGGAGAAGGCGCCATCGTTTGCCTCTTGACACCTGTCTTTTTACCGGCATGAAAGCTCTTTGAGAGCAGCATAGTTGGTCTTTTTCCTTTTAAAAATGTTTCTGGCTGTTAGCACAGTGTCTCCCACACGGCAGGTGCTCAATAAATGATGATAATGAACGTCAGACCTCTGGACTCTTCTCGGTAGATTCTCTCTTTTTGAGATAGAGTCCCGCTCTGTCACCACCCAGGCTGGAGTGCAGTAATGCGATCTCTGCTCACTGCAACCTCCCCTCCCAGGTTCAAATGATTCTCCTGCCTCAACCTCCTGAGTGGCTGGGATTACAGTTGTGCACCACAACACCTGGCTAATTTTTGTGTTTTTAGTAGAGACAGGGTTTCACCCTGTTGCCCAGGCTGGTCTCGAACTCCTGACCTCAAGTGATCTGCCACCTCAACCTCCCAAAGTGCTGGGATTACAGGCGTGAGCCACCTTGCCCAGCAGTAGATTTTCTTAAGGGATCTCCCCTGGGTTCTCATTGCAGCTCTGGACAGGACACTTGGGAGTATTGTCCATTCTACCCATTTATATCCCACCTCCCACAAGACCCTGTCCTCACTTCCAGGAGCTGGGCCCCCCTGAGAGCCCTCTTGGGTTGGTACTTCCGAGGGAGGAGATGCAGCCCCCTCTGAGACTGCTGTGTCCAGGGGTGCAGAAGGTGCCAGCTACTCCCTGGGCAGGGCCATGTCCCACTTAGACCTGTAGGAGGTTGGACTGTGTGGGGGATGCCCTTCGAGATGGTGGTGATGCCAGGGAGCTGCCCCTTAGGACTGCAATGGCATATGGGCTGGAGGACCAGCTCAGGTGTGACAAGGTGGCACTTTTACCTAAGTCGGAATTCAGGAGCCTGTCAGGGCGATACTTCTCCCACACTGGCTGGAACATCAGTGGGCTGTTTTCGAAATGGCCATCTCCGCTGCAGGCAAAGGAAAGACGCTCAGGCCTCTGCCATGCACAGGCTCTTGCCTCTCGGTTGCAAGGCACCCATTCGCTCTGCTAGCCGGTCAGCAGCTGGTCAACCAGCTAGGCAGTCAGTGGGTCAGCTGGTCACCCGACCCCCATTGTCGAGTCCCGGCACTGAGCAGGAGAGGGGACACGATGAATGGGCAGAGGTAGGAGGCTCTAACCGATTCCACATCTGATCACCAGCTGCGAGGAAGTGGCAGGTCAGCTTGGTCATGAGATGGGAACAGCAGAGGTCAGGCCTCCCTTGTTTGTTTCCCTTAAACAGAGGGATTGGAGAGGGACAGTCTGTAGGGACAGTGTACTGGGACGCTAAGGGATTGGAGAGGG